ACATCAGCGCAGCGCAGCGCTGAACTCGTGCAACCGGTGGGCTCCCAACTTTCACATGGACATCTGGCCAACGAGAGGAAACAACGTTGCAGGGTGATCTTGTGCACACCAAGAGAGGTAGCCAGTGACCTTGAAACAGGACCCGGAGAACCTGGCGTACCTATGGTATAGTCTATAGGGTTCTTCAACCTCTGTTGGCATGGGTCGGGATGTTCCATGATGGGTAACATTCCTCCTCACAGTGGGTCGTCATGCCAATGGCATGCCAATGGCATAGCTGGCAAGTGCCTAGGGGAGATCCCTGTAGCTCCTTCACTCCATCTTTGACAGGACACATGGATAGCCTCAGCTCCGCTCTCTCCTCACCAACATTCACCAATTATATATATATATAATGCAGACTCTTGATCCGTAAACACCCCCGGGCCCAGCCTGAAGAGGTTGCACGAACATCCATGTCTGCGAGGGTTTTATGAATCAAGTGTCTACATTACCATCCAGGCATACTTTCATACATTGACCCCATGTATGACCCTGGGGTATATAGGTATTTGTTATATAACTATTCAGTAACTATTCCATACATCGAGCGTCTGGGATTCGACACACACACACACAACCACTTCCCAGCATTCCACTCAGCTTCCAGCAGTTCCCCCTGAAGCTGACCTGGCTCGCTTTGGGTGCCAGTCACGTCTATTGATTTACGGCGAACAAACCCAGCACGACGGTGGACGGTGCCGCATGCAGACCTGCAGAAGGGGATCCAAGTTACCCCTGAGAGTCCAGTCGAAGCAGTCGAAGTGGACTTCTAGGGTGGTCGCAATTTGCCGGATCATGCTTGGTCACCAGCAAGCAAAGTGGAAGTCTAAGTCAGCCTTTGGAGAGTTGGTCATGGAGTGAAGGGGGGCATGCTGCGGCATCGAATGCGCTGGAACACCCGGCCTTGGAACCCTGCTGCGAAAAACGGTCGCCAAGCTGCTCAACGGTCGCAATGGCTTTGATTCGACCAGACATGGCTTTCCAACACTGGTCCTCCAGACTAGATTTCATCCTTGCTTTTCATTTCTTGCTTGATGACATAGGCCTATCCTTGATGAATAGATATGAATAGGTTGTCATCCTAACCTCTTTGTCTCCCAGCCTAACTATCTCGCAGCCGATCTTGACAGGTTGTATCAATGCTCAGCCCTTCCATCCACAGCTTCTCCCCCCAGCCCTGAGCTCGGCACCTGCGCATGACCGAGCTTGGTAGCGGTGGCCGTGCAGACCATCCCTGGACCGGACATAGCCGCACGGTCCGGGCTGTTGGAGAACAGGCGAAACCAAACCAAACTCGCCCCGAGCATTCCGACAGTCCGGATGAATCCAAGGATTTTCAGTCTCAACCTTTTCCAGGAAACACCTCTGAAGAGGTCGGGATTCTTGAGGGTTTTGCCCAATTCCTGAAGGTCCGTGCGTTCTGTAAAATTGCTGAAACACGCGTAGGAAGTGGATGGCATGGTCCACTGAAATGGATAGGCAGGCTGAATCCTACACAAGCATGGCTTTCCCTGGAAGTGGGGGCTTCTTGAGCAACACGAATTGGCTAAAAAGGGTTCCAACATCTCCATGGTCCAGTGGCCAAACCCGGTCCCAGCTGGCGCAACTGGGTGATGTTCCGGTCGAGCTTGACTGAAGCACCAAGAATTTTCTGCACTTGCGCCAGTGAAGGCCAACCACCTCGGAAGGCCAATCGCCTTTTGTTCATTATACACTCCCTGGAACTAACATGGAAGTGGAGAATGACCCCTTGGAAGACAATTTTCCAATACAAACAGGTAACCATGTTACTTCTAGGGAGTGTACGTTCATCGTTCTCGCCAAGTATGCATGAGAAAATCCATCACCAAGCTCTTCGCAACTCATGGTTCTTCGTGCCTCTAAGGAGCCCTTGATTGGGACTTCACAGGTTCATACATCTGCTTGTTCGTGATCTGTTGGAGGGTCTGTAGTTGCTTGGCTGGCTTTTCACATACTTTTGTTGGGTGCTGAGGGGCAAGATCCCTGCACCATAGGAAACATTAGGGAACTGGCTCTGGCCCCTATGCAGGGTTATTGCCCACAACAAAAAGCTGAAGGTGTGTCCTTTTTGATTCGTTCTCACAGGTGGACTCATCCCAGTTTGGAAGGTTTCTTGGGTCGGCCATTTTTCGAACTCCGCAGCTGCACGGATCAGCCAATCAAGCAGTCGTGCCGCACGGCGGATAGGGTTGTGGCACCAGGATATGAAGAAGAGAATCCCAGGATATACCTTGGTGTTTCTCCAACCTGGAAGGTCTTGCACTACATGGTGCACGGGTCGGGCTCAAAGGGTTTGACCCATCCCCACATGGTGGATGCCGGGCACGCCTCTGTCTGGGTCTGCAAGCGCCGCTCTTGGAGCTCTAGCTGATGAAGCTGCTGCTGTAGCTCCTGGCAGCTTGATGCCAGCTGAGGGAGTGGTGGTGTTCTTGCGCGTCAACACCACACAGCAACCCCGTTTTCCCAGTCTTGCTTTCTTTCAGTTCAGTTCAGTTCAGTTTAGTTCAGTTCACTATAGTAAGTTTAGTTTAGGTTTGTTTGCTTGTTTGTTTGTTTTTGTTTGTTTGTTTTTGTTTTTGTTTGATTGTTTTTGTTTGTTTTTTTTTTGTTTGATTGTTTTTGTTTGATTGTTTTTGTTTGTTTGTCTTTGTTTGTGTTTTTGTTTGTTTGTTTGTTTGTTTGTTTTTGTTTGTTTGTTTGTGCTTGTTTGTTTGTGTTTGTTTGTTTGTTTGTGTTTCTTTGGTTGTGTTTCTTTGGTTGTGTTTCTTTGGTTGTTTGTTTGTTTGGTTGGTTGTTTGTTTGGTTGTTTGTTTGGTTGTTTGTTTGGTTGGTTGTCTGTTTGTTTGGTTGTTTGTTTGTTTGTTTGGTTGTTTGTTTGGTTGTTTGGTTGTTTGGTTGGTTGTTTGGTTGTTTGGTTGTTTGGTTGGTTGTTTGTTTGGTTGGTTGGTTGTTTGGTTGGTTGTTTGGTTGGTTGGTTGGTTGGTTGCTTGCTTGCTTGCTTGCTTGCTTGCTTGCTCTCGTTCTTCAATGCAGGCGAAGAATTGAAGGAGAGATCGTGAGAGAACCTAAGGAACTGTCCAGTCATGTGCAGCACCCAAGGGGATCCCGGCTACCACTATATTGGGGGTTCTAGGTCTATGGCTCTAGCCTACAGAAAGTCTACAGCACCAGCTTTTCCGTGGCAACTGGATCAGGTTTTGTTGATCTTGGGACATTGTGAACCTCATAATTGCTCCAGGGCGCGTCGAACTCCTTTGCAGGATTGTGGGGAAGTGAGGGCCCTCGCTAGACCAATATACACCTGTTGCTGGTGTTCATCATAGCCCATCGGCCACTCTGATCGTTTACATCGAAGAACATGGATTCTTGGGCTGGGCTGCGCAGTCCCACGCTCTTGGGCGGGTTTTGGTCCTCTTTGACACGAACGCATCCCCTGGAGCTTTCCAACACCGTACCCCGCCTGCTGACGCAATTCAGCCTGCAATTCGTGGGGCGAGAAAAGGGAGCGCCTCTAGAGTTGCACCCTCAAAGGGCTCGTGATTAGGACTACAGGTTGTGACCACTTTCTTTGGCCAAAATGAGCAAAGCACGATGGGCCCAATGGCTGTGCCTCCAGCTGCCCCCTCTTTGTTTGAAGCTGGCTCAAGCTCCTGCAAAGAGGGCAGTGACACCCACAGGAGATGAAACAAGGCCTAGTTTTGAGACTGGACTCCTGTTTCAGAGGGAGTTTCTTGACCCTAACTTCAAGTCTGAACATGGAACTCAAACCCAGCTGAAACATACCTCCCAGCAGTCACGTTCGGTAAGGGGTGTGCTCTCCATGGAGGGTGCGGGGTGCTCAGAACATCTATTGGGACGACGAGCCACACCACCCCGAGCTCTGCGACCATACCAACAGAGGTGGGTCAGAACCCAACTGTTCGCCTATCCCCGGCCGTTGGGTACACCAGGTGGCTACCGGGTCCGGTCCGGTCACGGTCACTGGCCACCTCTCTTGGTACATCCAGGGGGGCCCTTGATGGAACGACCCCGTCCTGGAACGACCCCAGCTGGAAGGCGTCTGGCGACGCGTCACGGTCGGGACCCGGGCGCCGTGGAACGCACAGTCTGCCGTTTAGCAAAGAAAACACCGCCGTTTTTTGCCCTGTATGAAGTATTACAGTAAATTAAGGTAATTTCTTATTCTTCTGATCCTCCTCCTCCTCCTGCTTATTCTTTTCTTCTTCTTCTTCTTCTTATTCTAGACATTCCTGCAGAGGTGCAGCACGAAATCCATTGAAATCCATCGAAATCCGGAAAAAACAACCTTCTATCATCATTATCATCCATCCAGCGACCGCCAGCCTTGGTCAAAGCGGTTTGAGGCATCGGAGGAGCCCCCCAACCGGAAGGAACCTGCGAGACATCGAGACAGACTTTCCAGAGAAGACTTTACCTTGCTGCAGTCGTAGAAAAGCCGCGTTGGGCTTGAGCGACCTGTTCTAAAGTTGGACTTGGCTTGGGCATGTCGCCATGCGGCTTCTGCTGAGGGTCAGCGCGCCGCTGAATGTTGGATGAAAATTGGCCAGTGAAGATGGAAACACTGGAATCAATGGATGGCGGAGCATGTTGAAGTCATGCAAATACCGCCAGAATGACCCACTATGGTAGATGCAAGTGGTCCAGAACGGGTGTATATCATCGCCCCGTTTGCTTATGAATCGCACAAATGAATTTACAATCTGCAAACAAATGGCCTTGGCATGCAGCAAAGTCCTCTACAATATTTGCAATGGTCGGAGGGGAACACTGAGATACACTGAGAGTGTGTTCTATACATGAGGATCTGCCCTGGATTTCAAGGAGGCAAGTCCCTGTTGTTCCAAGACAATGCCCGACCTTGTCGTTTTAACAGAATAATGACAGGACTGACCAACGACTCAAGTTAGGCGCTTTCTTTCATGGCACCGCTCAACTAAGCAGTCCCCCACCCTGGTCACACATGGCGAAAAGAGTGCCTGCCACGCATGCGCAGGCATTCAAGTGCCTAGTCTACAAAACGACCTGAGGTCATTCTTTGTCATTCATGACTTACTATGCATTAGCCCGTGGGCTTGGTCGAATTGACCTTCGCGAAAATGGGGCCACCGAGAAGGTCCACCTAAAAAACGCCTAAAGCTCAAACTGCACGCTTCGCGATCTCACCGATCGCAGCAAGTCTGCTTGGACATCTTCCTGTGTCACGGCCCTTCCGATGAAGGGTTGCTGTGAAGCTGGAAGCTCATATCGTGGCACCAGGAAAAAGAGGGGAAGCCTCATGATGGCAGCCACCGCATAGATGCACGCGGTGTGACCTGAATGAACCGAGTCACCGGCCGGCCCAACGGCAAGTCACCGGAAAACCGAGTCGGCAAGTCAAGTGGTCCGAGTGGTCGCCTGCAGGGGTTTACCGCGTTCGCGGCAACCTGAGGGAGCCAACGTGATTTTGGACCAGGTGCTGGAGAAGAAGGGGCAAACATTTCAGGCCCCACGGGTGCAGGGACCCTCGTTCTGTAGCTAGGGTTTGAGGGACCGAAGATACATGTAGCAGTTGCTTTCTGTCCAGAATTTTGGTCTCTGGGTGGAAATCATCTCAACGACCTGACCAGTATCTCCAAGTGACAAAGGTCTGTCGGTAGTCATAGGCATCCATCAAGTAACCTCCAATCACTGCTGACCCCGACCACGACATGCTGCTGACGCTCTCAGCAGCATTCCACCGACCGCGCTCGTTGGACGGGACGAAGTCCATCAAGATGGATCCTCGCTTTTCGGGCCGAGGCGGTCTCGGCACCCGGGGCCAATAACAGCGGGTAGTACAGTTGAAAAATAACAATATCCGACACCACTTATTGGGGGTTACGCTGCACCCTGAAAAGTAATAAAAAGAATAAAACGTGTATAGTTGGCTCTGAATGACCAATGACATGTCCTTTGTTAGTTTCAATTCCAATCACCCGGGCGGGCTTCCAGTACTTTGCCAGGAGACCCCCAAAAAACACGCCGCGTTTCGCCCGGCTTGGGAAAGGAGGTGTGTCCCGTGCAGGAGGCTTGAAACTCCCTAGCATCATCTACCCAGGAGACCTTGATGTTACTTCGGTCCCCCAAAACGCTTGGGACTCTCGGAGGAGGCGATGTCAACGAGACGAAGTTGGCTCCAACTCCTGTCCGATATGTCCGGGCTCTGGTCGGGTCCGGGTCAGGTCGATGCGGGTACCGAACACTGCAATTCCGGACACCACAGGGTCATCCGCCCCGCCTGCTCCGGTCTTCGAGCAAAAAAACGAATGCACCGAGAGGCGGTCAATTGGATAGATGGCATTCGCGAAGGCCCCACGAATCACAAAGACCACCAAGACGCTGGGGAGCCATCTGAGGTAGGCCAACAAGAAGAGGCAAACCACCCCCGCCGTCGCAAAAAGGACACCTGCCTGAAACACGAAGCGAGGACGTTCGTGCAGGCTCTTTGGTGCTTTGCCGGTTCATGGACATGAGCACTTTCACAACGACACACCTTTTTCTCACAGGGTCTGCATGCCCCACTAGCAACGGGATAAAAGGGACCCGTTGGACCGTTTTGCTTTCATGTTTTGAGCCATCTGGTGGGCAAACCCCAACAGCACATCAAACTTCCTGCAAATATGATTGATCTCTTCAGGTGTGAGGGCCATTTCTTCCCTTCTTGGGACTCATGTCCTTTCACGAAACCCAGGACCAACGGCTGAACTCGAACCTTTACGCAGGAGCGGTTTCTTCGCTCGCGCGCCTGCACTCGACCCAACTTGGCGGCCGCTTTTTCACAGAGCCAAGTGAAGAAACCAAAGGAGAGGCCGTAGACGGCAAAGAGCAACTGGATCTGTCCAGGATTGAGCCCATAGTCCTGCTTGAAGAAAAGAGGGAAGAACTTCACCGTCATGCCAGCTCCAATGGCGGTCACCACATCCAAGCTACCTAAGCTACTGGCAGTTGGGACCTGCAACTGCCAAGTTATAATTATAGAATGATACTGTGTATACACACACGCACTGTGCATAAATCATAAGACAATTAAACACATACACATTGAACATCATTGAGCTATTCTACATTCGATCGTCAACCACCTTTGCATCCTCACCAAGCAGGGTCACCAATGGCCCACCAATGGCCCACCAATGGCCGGTTGCCTCACATTCACCCCCGGTGGCAGGTTGCAGGTTGCACAAGTGCAGCACCATGCCACAAGTGCAACACCCGACCCGATGGGAACATCACGTGTCTTTCTTCCCATTCACCGTGGTCGGCGCAAAGCGGTTTTGGGCTGGTTTTTAGTTCCAGAACACCTGGAGAATTCCACCCGTGAAAGCCTGGTTAAAAGGAAATCCGAGAAGATCCACCTGAGCCCCGGAACCCCGGAGATCGGGATGAGTGGTGTTCTATCCCGATGGGGCACCGTAGCGGCTAGCGGGGATAGCACTGAAGGGTACCAGATGGCACCATGGCACAACAAAGCTTATCGGCCAAGGGGCAAATCAGCCAGGGGACGACCCTTGCATACTTCAGATTGCTGAAGGCTCCCGATGCTTCTGCTCCACCATCCTTGGTGGAATGGCGGAGTGGCAATGCTTGGAGGATCTTTGGGTAGTCTACCTAGCGCTTTCCCTAGCCTTCCAAGGCCATTAACAAAAAGGCGGACTGAGCTGACCCCGATTTCGGAAGCATATGGCCATAGGCTCTGGTCCAGAAAAATGGACACCTTCTCCGATAAATATGATATAATATTTTACTGATCAGCAGCAGTGATATGATGGACCCTGGGCTGATGATGGAAGCTGGGCTGACATGCCCAGCCAATGCCATGCCTTTGACATGCCTCTTATCTCTTCGTGCTCCTCCAAATCCACGACACAATCAGGCTTAACATCTACAGACCGACCCATCGCATTCGTTATTCAAAGAAGTGAGGGTCAGTTGGGGCATACCCTTTATAAACCCTATTGGTCACTTGCAACAACCTACCAGACCTGGTCGTTCACACCAACCCTACCAGACTCGCACCTTCGGAACCGCGTGGGCGACCGGACCCATCACGGGCCCGAGCTCATGAAGGCACGTGGTTCTTTCTTCTCGGACCGGACCGGACAGTGAAATGAGGTTCGCATATATATATATATACATTGTATATGTGTATATATGTATATATATATATCTACAATGGTTATATATATACAATATAACTATACATATCATATGATCATATTCCAATCTTGCGACACCAATGCACTCCCTGATGCATGACAAGAAGAGCCGTGGATCTCGTTCAGAGATCCGCGGACACAATTCCTGGGATCGAAAAAGAATCTCCGCCAAGAAGCTTCATGTTGAGCATCTTTCAAGTTCACCAAGAAGAGGTTCGCTGGGATCATGCCCAAAAAGCCGATGATCAATACAACGTGAAGCACTGAGAGCTTCCATTGATTCCTTCATCACAAGGACACGACGAGGACACGACGGACGAGGTACATCTTTTCACGTTTGGAGTCAAAGAGGTTGGGCCTTATAGGTGTCCAACAACATTTTGCGCAAACATGTAAACCCTAGAAGTTCAAAGACTATATGTTGACCGACTGATGTAAAGGACATTCCTCTTCGTGTCACCTAAAGACCAATCTTTTTATAGTCTTTGACTCCCAGGGTAAAACTGAGGCATGCAAACAGTGGCTCTAATCTGAAATAATACGTGGGATATGTCAAAAGTCGAATGTCAATTCCTTAGGGCCTCAATGCGAAACCCTCTGACCTCAGTCAACTCCACTTCAAACAACCCAAGACCCAAGACCTCCAAAAAAGGCGCATTGGACTTGGATTCATCTAAATCGACCTCCGCCATCCTCTCTCCCTGGAAGTAGAATAAATGGATGAACATGGCACCAACAAGATGACCTGTTGCTGAATACCACACAGGTGGTGCCATCCACGTAACCATGGATTCTTGCGACTGTGCTGTTTGGCACTTTGCCCAAAGATGGGAGGTAGGTGGAGGTGGATGATTCGCAACATCTTCTGACCATATTGTCATATCCCTAGGCTTCCAACAGCAACCATTGTTTTACTGAGGATGTTGCACTACAAAACCAGGTCTGTCCCATTCTTTTCCAACTGAAGGCGAACGGGCCCAGATGGGCCTATAATTATAATCTGATTGGGCTCGTTGCCCCCAAAATCCCCCATCAACTCCCCAATCAAACGATCAAAAAAAAAACAGGTTGGTGCCAGGATTCCCGAAGTAGCCAAACAAAAAGAGGCTAAAGAAGGGCCCAGCACCATAGCCTAGCTGATTCACAATGCTCACACGTGAGAGCCACTTGGCTCGAGAGCCCTGAGGGATCGAATCAGAATACAAGGCGAAGCTGGCCTCGATTTTGCAGAAACAGGAGTGCAAACGGTTGACATTGGGTGGTTTTGGGATACATGTTGCTTTATGTTGCTTTTGCAGTTGAGGGATGCTTTAGAGGTTTTTGGATCCATGTTAATCAATATGTATGGGCGTCACCATGCGTCACCATGGAGCGTTCGGGATCAAATGACGATTTTGACGACGCTTTTTCAGGCAGAGTGGAGTGGGGATGGGCCTTTCTTGCCTGGCGAATTCACCCCGTACTGACCTTGACCGTTGCAAAAAAGTGCTTCTACTGTACTTGGATTTGCTTAAGAAACTCATATTTCCCGGAAGGAGATTCACAGGGAATTGACAAATCACCTTAAACAAAACCAGGCACACCTAGTGACCTGTTGCGGGACAAGTGCTCAAAAAAGAAACAACACAGAAAGGGAAACACGACGTTTGACGACCATTGATCAGATCAGTGGCTGTGTTCTGCAGTGCTGTGTATGCTCCGAAAATGAACAAGGACACATAGATAATTGGGAAATTGTCAAAGCCGATTCCTGCAATGGAAGCGCCCACAGCCAACACCGACCTCGATTGCTGCAATGTTTGCTTTGTCTTTTCGTGCGATCAAAAACCCAGCATGTTTCATGATGCACCACCGCCATGATTTCCAGGATCGGATTTATGGGTGCATGGTATAGACTGTCACCCTCAGTCAAACGAGTCAAACATGAGAACATGCGAAGTGTACCCACCCTTTCGGCAGACTGAGTGTTGAAACCCAACCAGCTGAAGGTTTGAATACGTGGTCTTTTGTTCATTTCTAGTCCTCTCCCCACTAGCAGTGCAAAGTCGAACTTTCCACTGCCCACAAGACCATTGGATCTAATCCGAGAGGGGCTTGGCCAAAAAGGGTCCCATCTGAACCTCACTTGCAGTGGGAAAGGACAGTCACTGTCATACCAGGTTACATTTCTGGGGCTGAGGAAAACACTAAAAACAACAAAAAGACTCCAATGACATTCGACTTCTTGGGGCATCCAAGAAGGGGGGGAATCCTTCTAAGACCTACTATATTCCATATCATATCAAGAAACCATTCTTTGCTGCAAAATCAGCGGTTTTTCCCAAAAAGAATGAACACCACCACATCATAGCTCTTTGCGTCGCAGCGACAGGTAGGCGCACCATCGCAAGATTTTACTTCTTGACACTGTGTCTGTCAACACGCCCGCCGGCCCGGCCAGAACGATCCTCGAAGAACCGCTCAAAACAAAGGTGAAGCGCGACAGGGGATGGGAAGACCAGGATTCATAATATTATTTTGATTTGCTAAGCTTTGTTCAGGGTATATATATATTGATTGATCGTAGGTGGACTTCAAAAACAAATAAACAACAGTGAAACAATCACTTTGTTTACCTTGTCTTTAGGTCTTCGACGACTTGTCGTTTAGTCATGTTGGAAGTGTTAGGAAGTGTTCGAAGGATGACAAAAACAAGCAAATTTCCATCTACTGAGTTCTTTTCATTAAACAAACGAGGGGAACCATCACGCCATGAGCCTCGACCCTCAGTGGATGATGCTTCGTGACCTGAAACGAGATCTCAAAACATCAATGATAAATCTTTAAGCGACTGTTACTGTTACATACTGGGACATACTTCGACACACCCCAACTCAAGCATCTTCAAATCAATTGGAGTAGAACCTGGGATCCTTGAATGTCCTCTTAGTCCTCTCTCAGCTGGGTTCATTCGTCGCCCCACCAGCCTTGCCGACCTGCCCCAGACCTAGTCGGGTACCATCACTCACTCTCTGCCGAGACCTGTGGAACTAGACGAGGTGAGTGAAATGATTTGAAAACTATTTGAAATATGCCATCTGGTGCGGTTCTCTTTGACAAAGCTGCCCAAGGAACCGGGAAAAAGCCTTGAATATCTTGAACCAGCAGGGGATTCACCCACACACGGAAAAACAAGCAAAACCAGGTTGTAAGCTCCCATCCAGCCCATTAAAGCATCCCGATAAAATCCTATATATAGACCGTAGCGGGTTTTAGCTGCAGCCAGCTGCTCCAACTCCACGGGAGGATATTTTTGTTTCCCTTGATCAACTATACCAGCTGCTTCCTTGTGAAGCCGCCTCACTGGATGACCCCGCGCACGACTGAAAAAGGTCTCTAAACAGGACACTGATATTAAAGGCGACTCTGAATACATGGGAGTTCGCAATTGAACAATGCCAACATTTAAGATTGCTCCACTGATCTCAAATCTTTTGCTTCGGGTGACGCCCCAGCCTTCCTCGCCTTGGTCCTTGGTGCTTCCCGTCTCCTCTTCCCCCGTCACAACTTGAAGGGTCTGAGAAAGACCGGAGATGGACTCGGCCCAGCCCACGGCGGTGTTGGAGTTCCCCGCCATGATGAACAAATAGGTGTCCTCAAACAGAGGCTTCTTTGGGACAGGGATCTTTTCTTCACGAAGGGAGGTTTTTCAGTGATTTCCTGGTTTCCTTATGAGTCAGAGATGACTTGCTGAAAAACGACCCGGCATCATGGGAAGTGAACTGCAAGTGTGTGTCATGCGTGTCTTTTTTCGCGTGTGTGATGGCGCGACACACACGGCGAGGTCATGTATCATTCCTGAGGGTCATTTTTGATGGACTCAGTGGTTGGGTGCAGTGAGTGGAAGAAATGGCCTAGGATGGAACCTGTTGGATGTCATGAGGCTCATGAGGGTCACATCTTTCGTGACTCGGGCGTCCTTGTCGACCTGTTCGTTTTGAGTGGGGAAAACCCCCAAGAAAGGTTCAAGGAGGGTTAACATAGAGCCGGGCTGAGATCTGGGATCTCAAACCAGGGAAAAAGGTTTCCCCTAGCTTGAAGAAACCTGGACCTGTCCCAGGTTGGATGCGTCTCATCAGATCCCTTCACCATAAATAGTGGATGTTGGTTGGGAGGAATCCCTCGTCACGACCTCCAAAAGTCACGAATGGAGTTCCACTGAGTGACTACTAGGACAGTCTGTTGGTTGACCAGGCAAAAGCTCCCAGCAACTCCCTGAATAAAAAGAACATCATGAACATCGTAAAAATACCACAACATATGGAAACCGGCCATGCCAAAAGCATCTTTTCAGAATTTAGATTCCGCATCTAGAATCGGGATTTTGTGTGTGGACATATGATACATGTTCTTCACACCATTGCCATGTAGCTTCATGCGCTCCAAAAGAATAAGACTCGTCACTGTATCCATACGGAGAGAAAAACAACACAACACCACACCTCTTCACCCCCCAAAAGCCCCTCCGTTCCGCGGAACATCCGCGGACCCCGCGCGCACATCGCGACGACGGCGGTGCGATGCTTTCGGCCCAGGTCTCGAAGAGGCCCAGTTGGGCGATCGAAGAAAAGACGGAAAAGATGCCTCGGAGGCACCGGCGCCGGGGCCACCGGTGCACCGGGCCGCTGGTGCGGTGCCGGGGGAGTGACGTCAAGACTTGACTGAAGGAGCTGAACGAGCTGAAAGGCTTGCTATAGTTGCTTGGATTTAGAGGTTTAGAGTGAGTCGGGGGATTGTGGGTCACAGTAGGAACATCGAAGAACAGTTGCCCTGTTACCCGTAATTGTTCGATTTTCAGGATGACTTGATGCACGGGGGAAACGGCAGTTCCCAAGGTTCATGAGTTCAGTTCTACCCACCCTAGAAGAAATTCGATGAACATCGGGGTGGAAGCCCCGGTCTCATGTTCTGCTTTGGTATTAGATATGACCCAAGACATGGCTCCATGACGTTCCATGTTCCATGTATGTTCCATGTATGTCCATCTCTCTGTTTGGATGAGCTGCCATTGTACCAAATCAACTTCCAAACATTTGCCTGCAAGTCCTCTTCAGTGGTCTTCTCAGCTTTTGCCATGGCTCGCCGTGGAACAATTCCACGAAGCTGAAACGGGTCTTTCCCTACGGGTCTTGTGGCCGAGCACTGCAGCTGATGGTCAAATAACATACTCCTGGAATTCCAGTTGGCCATTTTCAAAATGGCTGATCTGGTTTTGTAGTATAAAACTTATAAAACTCTTACTAAAGCAATGGTTGTTCCGTAAAGGCTATGAAATAAATGGTGGTTCGACTTCGGATGCAGTACTCACAGGGTTGGCTGCACCGACACAGGGTTGGCTGCGCAAGTTCTCAGAGATGACTCGCGATCAACAAGGTCTGAGACGAGCGAACGGAATATCTTTGGCCTCTGCTCCAGACTCTACCATACCTGAGCAACGGCTGCAATTGCTGACTTCTAGGTCTACGAGTCCTGCTTCCTTGATGTGCGTTTGTGGGCTTGGCTTTTCTGGTTCTTCGTTCTTTTCTGTTGCTTTCTTCAGTACTATGTCTCTTTCTTCCTCTATCTCTTTCTATCCTTCCCACTTTACTTCACTCAACCTCTTGTACTGCATGAAGGGGAAAGGAAAGCGTGTGGCGCATCCAAAGTGTTGTGTACTGACCAGCAGCCTCTTGTGGCTTTCGTTCACATCACTTGTAAGATCTTGTCTGTAAGCAAACTCATGCTCCAGAAATCTCCAGAAGTTTATGCAAGCAGTTTTCTGGGAGAATGTCAACGAAGCCAAATCTCCTCCCTTCAGAACAGATTTCTGAGGCTGGCACGCTGAGGTTCAGCCCACTCGTCCAGTCGCAGCTCGTCCAGAATGGCTTGAACCTCAAATGGTTTTATAGTTATAACGAAGTCTTGGTGTGGATAATATATACCTCAAATGCTCTGGGGGTACCCAAATCACCGTCACTACATGTCACGACCGATGAGTTGAAGCTGGTGCAAGCTGTTCATCAGCTTCCGGTGCCCACAAATCAAAGCAAAGATTCTTGCTGAAGGCTGAAGGGAGAACGTTTACTTTCATGCATCTCACTGATCATGGTCGCAGGGAGAAGGACCTGGAGATGGACAACAATATTCATAGATTCATATTCCTAGAAACAGATTTGCAACTTTCAGATTCGACCCCGTCGAGAAACAAACACATCCCCTAGAAGTCCAGTTCGCCTATCTTTTGCACCAGCGAAGTGAAGGAACTTCCTGGACTCGGGTCATGGGAAGACGGTTTTTCCAGCGTCTTGGACTCACGTGCTTTGAATGCAGAACACTCCTCGCCACCTTCCACCTTCCGTCCAAACAACCCCAATCGACGTCGATTGCGGCCATCCGAGCGGCCATCCCTTGCGTGGTGGGGGTCGCGTTCAGGAGGACTGGTGGGGTGGAACCCCTAGTGCAGTACTCCATAGGACGTCCCAGTGCAGCACTCCATGAGACGTCGAACATGAGCCGATCCATTGACCCCTTGTTGCCACTCCTGGCCCACTTGATCCGCAGTGACTGCCACTCCCATTGGTGTCTGGGATAGGATGGATGTGGGATTCCCACCATCGAGAAGTTGCCGGTTCTTATTACATCTGATTTTCCCATCGAGAAAACCGCAGCAACTCCTCTTCACGGAAGGCGATGTACCATGAGGTATCTATACCAGCACCCTCCAACAGGTCTCCTCTGGTGGCTTTTGGAGACTTAAAAGTCGCAGGTGGTGACCTGTTGGAAGGTCCGGGTATATAAATATATATGTACCCCGCCTCTGCTGCCACGTTGGTGTCCATATTCATGTTCTCTGCCACGCGCCGAGCGACTAGGGGCCTGTGCCATGGGTGCAATGCATCCGGTGCATGTGCCCTGCAGCGTTTATCATGCTCACATTTCTCCGACCAATGCCCACGTGCCTTGGTTTGGGCCCAGTCCAAGACATGAACGAGCCTCACGTCAGGCTCAAGCACCAGCTAAGCAACGTCCCCAGTCCATTGGCACATCCACGGCACTCGAATTGGATTGAATTTGTGCAAAAGACACTGGAAGCGGTGGATCTTGCAAACAGGTAGCAGCCCATGGAAGCATGGAGAGTTGCCAGGGCCGCCCATTTCATCGCCAGCCTGTGAGACTTCTCAGGGTGGATGGCACAAACGCTATCACCTACGCTGTCACCTCCAGGTTTTAAAATTACTCACAACACATTGATCTTGCAGCGTTGTTGAATCAAGAGTCAGTTAAACAATTGCTTGTAGTTATTCACATTGTTAACTCCTGCTTGGAAATTCCGCACCTCCAACTGCTGGGTCTGGGCACCATCGGGCTCGATGAGGCGGGCATGAACGAGATTTCTTTGTGAAGTGAAAAGGAACCAAGTGATTTGTGGGATGAATCTTGATGGGTACTACTGCCTTCATTATTGACACTCTTTCAAAGGAAGGGTCTTTTCATATCCTTCTTTAAGACTTGGGATCTGATTCTAGGGGATGCTTCTGGGATGCTAATCTGGGTGCGAATCTTGGTCCATCATGGGACTGCAAACTCTCGCTGAGCACTATCACTGCCTCACACTTGCTCTGATCACTGTGATGTGTTGTGCTTAAAGCATCTTAACTGAGGGCCAATCTGATTTTCCATGCGCAAGCGCTCGGCTTTCTCCAGGTCAATGATCCAAACGTGATGATCCACAACCCCAATGTGTATATATATATATATATGGTTGTCTCTCTCTCTCTCTATATATATATATTTAAATACTGTAGCATTAATTGTATAGATTATATGAGGTGTGTCGAGACTTGCTGAGAAAACTTGAACACCAAACGAGTCTCTAATCCCGACACAGTACCATCTCAACAAACAGCAGGAAGGGTCCCGAATCGATTCGGAACCGTTTGTTCAGAACCGAAACCTCGTGAATGTCAAGAACCGAAATTTTTCATCAACCGAATCATTACAACCGTCAATTATCCCATCACAACCGAACCGGAAAAAATTACGAACCGGAATTCCCCCCTGCTCCGAGATCCGCAACGTTTCTTCGAGGGCTGTCCGAGGTCACAGAAGCATTTGCACATTGGCGTGCCCAAACAACATGTCACTGGCGCGGCCCGGCTTCAAGCGCGGGCGGCGCCTGGTGATGAACAAACCGGCTTTCGAGAAAAGCCGTTCCAAAGCTGCGCTGGAGCCAGGCACTCCAAGAGCCGCTTGCGCAAACTGGGCGAGCACTGGCATCTGTCCTTCATGGCTGCGCCACCAAGACAAAGGGCTTTCTCCTGTGACATTCAGGCGCTCATAGTGCAACATCTCAGCTTCCACTTGCTTGCGAACCTTGCTGCAGTGAGTCAACTACAAATATTCTTTTTCTTTCTGGTTAAAAAAGCATTTAAGGAAGGTGGAGTCATCGGTGGCTTTCGTGTGAAAATGCTTTTTTTGGACAATGGAAAACGCATTTTGCCCCGAAAGATGATTAACGACGACGCGGGAAATGCTGAAAGCGCTGACCCAGTGACTTCCTTCAGGTCATCGAGCACAGCCACCTCAGCTGCAGGACGCCGGTCAGGCTGTGGTCCAAACAGCCAGTCTTCAGCACTAGTGCGCTCTTTGAGCGCGCGAGGACCGGGCTGCAGCCTCACTGCAGGACCCGATGCGGCTGCGCAGGCAGAGTCTCGCAAAATAGCTTCACTGGTAGATTTAGGTTTCTCTTGCCGCCCTGCTCCCCTTCCACGACCACGACCTCTGCCTCTTGTCTTCTTTGGCTCCGGGCGCCCCAAGGTCTCAAGCTTGTGATTCATAGGATCTTCTGCTGCTTTCCTCAATCTTTCCCGAAGTTCTGGGTACTTCTCGTGTGATTCCACAACCATTTTGCAAATCATCTCCTTCACTTCCTTCTTGCTCATTTTCTCCCACATGCTGTGGCCTCGAAATCGAGGATCAACATAGCTGGCGGCCAGAAGCCATGCCTCCCCAGTAGTTCCTTGAAAGTGCTTCTCTCTGACCTTGTTCAAGTCTTGGTGCAAAAAGCGAAGCAAGTGCTTTGGTAGCACCTCCAACTCGCGAGCTTTGCAGCCCTGGCCATGCATCTCACGAAGCTCTCTCGGGTAAGGCAGCTGCGCTGACCCAGTGACCTCTAGGGTCTCCATGCACTTGTGGAAGACCGGGAGGTAAAGAGAAGCTAGCGCTTTGTCATCCCCTTCCAAGAGTTTGGTTCCTAAGCGAAAAGGCTCCAGAACAGCACAGAACTGGAGAGCAACCCGCAGCTCACTCCTGTCGAGCTCGTGGGGCATGTCGGCAACATTGGGACGACGAGTCCTGTCAGGGATGGTAAATGCATTTTTGGGTGGAATGCAAACGCATTTTGGCAATTTTCTCTACAAGTGAAACCAGCGTGGAATGGAAACGCATGTTTGATTTTCTCAGAACAGAACCTCAGCAATGCGTGAGCTGCATTGTTGCGGATGACAGAAACAATCTGCAGCAGGGCGGAGCTCCAACGTGTTGGGGTTTCATGCTGGTAGGCAACGCAAGGCACTTCGGCTTGTGCAGCTGCTGAGTACATTTCATTGTACATGTCATCGTGGGAAGCAAAGTATCGCACAATCGACCGGTACCTGCTGAACGACTCCTTCAGCTTTGCCTTGCACTCCACAGAGGCGGGGTCGCCCTTGGGCCCTTTCACACCACCAGGCGCCATGGGTGCCTTCTTCTCAGCCACCTCTGCTTCAGAAGACGAACTGCTCGAAGAAGACGAGCTTTCATCAGAAGTGTCTGATGAGGAAGAGTCCGAATCCAATTTGGCAGCGGCAGACTTCCTCTTTTTGGTCCTTTCTTTCAGATCTGGCAAAGCGTGCTTGCAGCATAGCTGCAAACAATGACATCCACACCCTATCAGGGGCGCACCGAGGCCGCGCAAACCCTTTCGAATCGCCCCCTCGTGGTCTGAAACGGACGCTTGAATGTGCTCTGGCGTCAGCTCCACCGACTCCAACGCTTTCTTGAAAAGCTCTGTGTAGCGATCACCTGCCAGGGCCCAAAGACAAATATGCATTTTCCAGCGTGCAAAAAAAGCATTTCCGCATGCTACCACATTGGCCCGCGCAGGGCCCAACAAGCTCACCCAAGCACTCTCCACGCCAGGGCCCCGCACAGGGGCCAAAAGCAACACCCAAGCATTCGCCAAGCCGGGGCCCCGCACAGAGGCCAAAAAAAGACACCCAGGCACTCGCCACGCCGGGGCCCCGCACAGGGACCAAAAAAACACCCAGGCACTCGCCACGCCGGGGCCCCGCACAGGGGCCAAAAAAACAACCAGGCACTCGCCACGCCGGGGCCCCGCACAGGGGCCAAAACAGACACCCAACCTGTCAACTTTCGCCTGTCCGCGGTGCTTCTGCCACACCGACATAGATGCACACGCTAGTGTGGCTCCAGTCTTTTTGTGTCCAATCTAAGTGGCACGCCAAATAATGTTTTCGCCTCTTCATTTTGGGTTTCCAGGTGTCAGCCGATAGGGTAAAGCGACAGCCGCTGTCTCGTGCTGCCCGGATCATCGACAAAACCTTCTCTCGCAAGTCTTGCATGACAGCTTTGAATTCCAAATCCAAGGCATGCTTCCCACCAAGGCCCGGCAAGCGAGGGGACAAAAAAGCCTTGACATAGCGATTGTGCACAAGACGAAAAGGAAGCAGGCAGCCTAGCACCAAGTAGATCACCCACTCTCTCATCAGTTGCAGGTCGACCTTCTTGGCGCTTTTTGAAGGTGTGCTCCTCTCGGTGGAAACCGTTTCTGGTAGAGCATCTTCATGGCAGTCTCGCATGTGGTTCACCATGGCACTGGTGCTGGCGAAGCCGCAAGCTCCTTTCCAGTGTCGGCGTGGTTTGCCACCACGATCGATCACATTCTGTACTTCTTCTAGACTTGGCTCAACTGCGTTGCACCTTCTACAAAACCGCACAGGCACTCCTGGTCTTGCCGGCCAGAATTCCCTGTGCACCCAGCTTCTTTCTGCGGCAGCAGGCATTTGTAGCACATGGGGTCAAAAAACATCTACATTACTGGACAGCTCTCGAGCTCCTAAAATCAACGGCACAAGAGTGTTCATGTTCCTCTAGTCCGTGCAACCAAATGTAAGTAACCAAGCATCACAAGTCTAGTAAGGCTAACGCAAGGCTTGGAATGTGCAATGTGCATTTACCAACTGCTGCAAAAAGCATATTGAAAAAATGCATCCCTTCGACACAACTACAATGCAGTCTAGCATGTCTGACAAGAAGCGTACACACTGACAAAGCTCAAGAAGCTCAAGAAGCGTGCTCACTACAAATGCAATCTAGCACATTTTCAAGCTCAAGAGCATCATCTTGACACAAATCCCTACAACAATGCGTAGCATTGACACCCTAGGCCATCGACCCAAAAACCGCCCTCACTGTGTTCTCGGCTTCTTGCAAACATGGCCAGCCGCAACCTCCTCCACTGTCTGCAGAGTTTGAAGGTCTTTCTCAGTCAAAGTCTTCTTCCCACGGTGAGCGGCGAGCACATTGCCCTGCACCAGCCTCTGAACCACGTATGCTTCAGCGGCATGAGAGAGGACGGCTAGAGCTGCCGCGGAGATCTTGAGCTCAGCCAAGGAGTTTTCCTTGCACGGAAGCCATGGGTCTCTCTGACTGTTGCGCTCCTTGACGATGGTCTGCAAGATCTCTTTGGTCAAGCGACACATGGAAGTCTTCGTCAAGCAAGCAACATCAGGGCGGCTCTGCAAATATTGAATCTGCTGGTCCGCCTGCGCCATGTGCAGGGCAACTCCAAAATGCATTTTTTCCGATTCGCAAAAAGCATTTAAGCACTCAGAACAGAAGGCGGCCCATCATAAACACCTTTAGGACTTTAGGCAGCCAAATATGCATTTGCATCAAGCAGAAAAAAGCATATTCAACCCCCACCTGACGACACTGGCCACTTTTGCCTGTGCCCTGCACAGCCACAGCTGTGCCCTTACGAGGTCTTCCGCTCTTCCGCTCTGCTTGCTCGTGCGGTTGCGCTGCTGCAGGGCTGAACGCTGCAGGTCTGAACAGGAACAGCCCCACACAAAGCTGCACACGAGCCAAGCGCAGCTGCTCTGGCATCATGTACGAAGGCACCATGAGGGACATCGTGTCGACAACAAGTAAGTCAAGACAACCTCTGAGCCATGAGAAGCTGAGGAAAAGACAGCTGTTTGTGAATATGCTTTTTCCAGGCGGTCTAGAAAGCATATTGGACAGGAAATCTACCAAGTAGATCTTGATTTGCTATGACATGTCACATCACATCATGTCTTGTTTTGTCTTCTCTGGTCTTGTTTGTCTTATCTATTTCTTGTCTTGTCTCACAGGGTAACTTATCCCTTACCGAACCGAAACGAACCGTGAACCGAACCGAAAATGCATGAACAAAAGCTTCCTCAACCAAACCGAACCGATTCGAAGATTCAATTAAACATTCAAACCGATTCCAACCGAACCGAAACCTCACTGAAACAGGTAGACGTTTGACACCTTGCGTGTCTCAATGAATCATGATGTCGCTCGAGCGGGCACAGCTCCAGGATCAACGTTTTTCACAAACGCTGCCGGCGGCGCCGGTTGCCCGGCATAAGCATTGGCATCACGGTGGCGGTGCCCTTCAGCCAACCAATCTTTTTGCGAAGCTCGAACACGGAAACCAAGGCCTTGTGTGTTTTGAGGTTGGATATCCATATAGCAACCCCCAAATAAGCCCCAAAGGCTTTCATAAGGTGTGTATACAGTATACATATAATATTGGAACTTGAGTCGGCCATAGTATCTTGTATCTTTCAGAAAGGTCTTGGACCTTACTGTCTGTCAATCTATCTACTATTTGGAGGCCACCGCATGGATCAGCTAGCTGGAGGGACTACTTGGACTACTACTCGGCCATTTTGCACAAGAGCGGTCTATCTCCAACTCACCAGTTCACTGCTTGCTCTCCTGTCTGGCCTCAGTCGAAGCAAGCCGTCCCACGGATCTGCAAAGCTTTGCAATGCTTGGCCGTGACGCACAGCTGCAGCTGCTTCGTCCGTTTTGGGGGACACATCACTCGACGTCTGACTTGATCCCTCAGGGCGCACCTCCTCACGGCGCGTGAGGAGATCCCTGGGAACAAACAGGAGTGTTCTCCAATGCTTTTTCCACCTCGTTCTCTTTTAGTGGAAAAGGACAACAACTCAAAAACTGGATCAAGGTTATGAACCGACTGGGAGCAACAGGATCAAAACGGTCCCCGGACCTGTTATACCCTGTTGGTTCTTGCAGCTTCAGGTCTTTGACCATCTTTGACCCCTTCTTCAATGTGTGTTTTTGTTGTACCGAGCGATTCCTTCCATTGCGTGCCAGTCTGACGGCGTGCTGCAACGTGGCTGACTTCATTCAGATCGACGCCGTCGGCTGACGCGGCTTCACTGGAAAGGTCCATGGGGTTTCACCACCACGAAGGCCGCTAAGGTCACCAAATCTACCAGAGAGAATGGATGTCAATGGGTGTATGAGTGGCAAGTGTGTTCAAGTCACCGTCCCAAGTTGCTTGGACCAAGTCGCCCGGCGGAGGGTCTCCCCCCGGCATCGGACCATGGAACAAATCCACTGGGTTGGTCTGAACATGCGACGCGCATGTTGGGGGTCAATCAATTCCCAAACGACGTCCCCTGCGGACGCGCAATCCACGGATTTTGGGACTTCTTCGCTCCTCCGGGTCTTGGAACATTGCTCGTTACGTACGGTCTCGGTGCGGTGCGACACGTCATGACTTCGCCGCTCGCTTCACATCGTTCGGCTGAGAGCTTCACTCGCACGCGTTCCATGGTGCCGGCTGGCACCGGAGTGGTGGCACCGGGCCTTGGGCGGAGAAGGATCGGGCCAAGGGTGAGGGCCAAACCCCCCAAATGTAGCGATTCCGAGGTGGGTCAGAACCCGATTCCTTCGGCTATCCTATGGGTCCCCCAGGTTTTCCGGGTCCTATTTACGGTCCTTCAACCTCTGGTTTCTCTGTATCAGCCATGTCCATGACTTTCCCAAACGTCTTCAAACAGCTCTGCGCAGCTCCCTGCAGCCAGAGCTAGGCGCCCCTTCTTCTCTGTAGCCGCCACCTGGCCAATTCTCGTGGGACTCCCCCCATTGAAACTGCGTGTGACCAGCTGTACTCAAGGGTCAGTTCCCTCGGTTTTCTTGCCCCCATGCGTAGCTGTGCTTGCAGCTTGTAGCTAACCAGTTTGGGTGGTCTGTAGGGGACTAAATATTTCGCTACGAAACCAACCCCCAACATGACCACCGCCTTCCCCTTCAGCGGCCCAACCACCTTCCCCCCAGCGGCCCAACCACCTTCCCCCCAGCGGCCCAACCACCTTCCCCTTCAGCGGCCCAACCACCTTCCCCTTCAGCGGCCCAACCACCTTCCCCCCAGCGGCCCAACCACCTTCCCCTTCAGCGGCCCAACCACCTTCCCTTCAGCGGCCCAACCACCTTCCCTTCAGCGGCCCAACCACCTTCCCTTCAGCGGCCCAACCACCTTCCCTTCGGCGGCCCAACCACCTTCCCTTCAGCGGCCCAACCACCTTCCCTTCAGCGGCCCAACCACCTTCCCCCCAGCGGCCCAACCACCTTCCCTTCAGCGGCCCAACCACTTGGGTTCCGAGTGACCCAACCACTTGGGTCCGGGGAGAGACGAATGGTCTGACATGACCTCCGGTGACCTCTGGAGACCTGGACCATGGCCTCTGGGCACCCACAACCCATGCCCTGTGGGAGCCTACAGGGCCTACATGCCAAAAACCTCCTGCACCTTCCAAGCAAGATCTCCAACAAGGTGAAGCAAAGGATCTTTTTTTTTCCGGTTGTTCATCCCACCGCTGCACTCTTTTTTGATCCAACGCAGTCATTTTTCAATGGTTCCATCCAGGTCTTCCAGGTCGTGGCGCACTGGAGGAACAGGGGATCCAACTTCGGACATGCGTGTGGAGATCGGGACAGCACGCACATCGGGACACGCAAGTGTAGCAGGTACTCCAGGTACCTGGCGGCCTGGCGGGTTGTTACGATCAGTTGGATCCGTTGAATCCGCCCTGACAGAGGGCGACCATGTCTACACGTGTACTCACTCATCCCCAAATGGCCAAGTACTCACTCATCCCATGCCGGGCTGCCGCACGACCAGGTGGAGACTTCCCACCCTCCTGTTTCCCAGCATCCGAACCGAACGCCCCACAGCGTTCGGGCGACCAACCGCTCCGCCTGACGTGGTGTCACAGCTGCACCGGTGGAGGCCTGGCCACACTTGGGAGAGTTCAAGTGGTTCCAAAAGAACTGTCTACTATTCCCCAAGAGCACTGGGGGATGTTGGTGGTTCCATAGCTGGTGCCAAAAGAACTGGGGGATGTTGGTGGTCAGCCACATAGCCCAAGAGATGTCTATGCCCCCCCAAGCTCTCCCCCGTCCGCGTCGTCTGGGGGCCAATGGCGGGCAATGGATGTCCAGCAATGAAGTGGTATACGGAAAATCCTAAGCCCTTTGGTGACTGTGAGCCTATAGGATTGCCTTACATCAAACATATGACATCCTCTTGAGGGGCCCTATCTCAAAAGGTGAAGCTTGTGGCCAACATGGCTGTGACAGCTATATAGCGAAAAAAACTTTCTGTCTGTACCCGTTTGACACCCAAGCACACTTTCATTCTTTGGCTGCACCCCAACAAACAGGAATTGGCCTGGGTAACTGAGGGTTGCCATCCTCAAAGGATTCGAGGAAGAGGCCATCCGAGAGCAATGACATGCAACGGTGGATTCTCTTGATGTGAGCGACAAAAGGTGTGGTTCCAGGAACCGCTTGGCGGGGGACCCTTTTGGCGAAAGGAAACGAAGGGGCCGACCGACGCAATACGCAAAATTACACGTTGTATGATTTTGTCAAATCCTCATGTGTCAGGGTGGCACTCCCTACAAACAAACCCAGTTGCCACTGGCAGTACCCTAAACCTTTCCACCTAAAAACCATATTACTTTGATGCTTCTGTCCGGGAAGCGAGAAAACATCTTCTCCTGAAAGGGTTCACCCGGACCCACCTTGTGTAGAAACCTTTTGAAACGTATACATGTATAGCTTATCATAGAGCTTATCATCATGGCTTATGGACACCTTATATATATATATATCGGGATTTATACATGGCTTCTCATAGCTTCATTCAGAGAAAAAAACGCAGCGCCACTAGCAGCGCCTCATGGCTGGATTCCACACTGACCCAATACAGTCAGGAACGCAGAAACCCCTCGCCTGCGGTGGGATCACGCGTGCGAAGTTGGGTGGAGCTGCCTTGAAGGCCACGGGCACCTACCAAGACGAGCTGCCGAGCCAAGCCACGTCCTCCGAGTGACGGAGCCCTGCCATTCACCCAGCGAGTCTCGCTCCGTGGGACCGACGGTCGACCTTGAGGGGCGGCCAGGCCATGGAAAATGGATGAACATGGACTCAACTTCGGGTGACCCTGTTTTGAAGACCTGCTTCAGGTCTTCCACCATTTCCTCTTCGTGGTGCCATCCACTTCCGAGATACTTTCGGGGAGTGTCTTGCGACAGGCTACGAAAGGATGCTGGAAGTCTGTGGACCGAATTGGTGGAGCGGATGGACCCCAAAACCAAGCATCCAGAATGGTTTCTCTCTCAGAACGTCTTTTCTTTCACGGCGGGCAACTAGTGAACTTT